AAATATATAGAGAAAAGAAGGTGGCTCGGTGGGTGGGTGGCTTGGGTAAAAATCACTCGGGCTTGCGCTCCAGACTCTTTCTCATTCACCCCACTATACCGCACCTCAAACCATTCCATCCCACCCTACAATCCCTCTATTCCATTCCCTATCGCGAATCTGATTAATGGCCGGATTCATGGGCACGTATTTATATGGATTTAAGCGTTGCCTAGGTAGAAGTACACTGTTCCACGTTTGCCAACGTTAACGTGTGAAGAGAACTCTCTTTCTCTTTCTCTCTCTCTCTTTCTCTCTCTCTCTCTCTCTCTCTCTCTCTCTCTCTCTCTCCCTCTCTTTCTACGCGAAAAGGATGCATGTGCCGTTGTCGTTTCGAACGAATACTACCACCACCAAAAGTACCCCATCGCCACCACTACAACTACAACTACCATTTCACGGATTCCCTTACCGATCCAAACGTGTCCTACCTCATGGTGAACTCTCCAAGCTTTCCTCGCGTAGCCTCATCATTTAACCCCGACGTTATAATCGAGACCGAATAACTCACGACGGTTGTAGATCAAAAATCAAATGACCTACACCAGTTCGTTAGATGATTCATTTAAAAACGTTAATATCATAGATCGTACAAAATTACTCGAGAAAAAATTCAATTCGTTCAATAATCGAACCTTTTTTTCATTGACAAATTTTTTATTCCGTCGCGTTCGACGTAAATAATTATTAATCGAAAAACCAAAAGTTCTTTTATCTAACCGAAAAATCAAGAAAATAAAAATAAATTAATCGCAAACGCATATACTTAAATGAAAAAGACTAGAGCAAATAATCATCGTATCGAGCACCGATGTGGAAACGGAAGATTAGAGAGCGGAACACAAAAGGGGAATCCAATAGCGAGCACGCTTGCTTATTGTTAGTGTGTTCTAATTACTCGACGTTCCTGCGGTGACATCAGACACATCGACCGTACCCGGGCCACCTCGAAATTAGCCTATTGATTTGAAAACAGTATAGGTTAGAGAAAAGGATAGAAAAATTTTCTGACTCTGATCGATGCTATCTGAATCATCGACGAGGTCTACCACGTCGGTAGAGATTCTTTGAACGAGCAAGAGAGAGAAATAGAAAGAGATAGAGATAACGAAGAGAGAAACAACGCCTGACGATATAGGAAATCCGTGGTCAAAAAACAAAAATTCGTCTAGGTAATAGTTTGTGGGGAAAGAAAGAGAGAGTAAGGGAGAAGCGACAGGGAATTGGACGATAACGAGCTGTTCGCTGATAACCACCGAAGTTCCTCTTCTTGTTAGTTAATCAACATTAACGTGAGAACCCAGTAACGATTATTTCGTTCTATGAGAGTTCTAATTGTAGTGATTGCTATCGATCCTGGTAGTAGTTAAAGAAGCACGTGACTTGACCTTCCCATTTACGACGATCTATTTGTCCGAACGAAAAGAAACGAAAATCCTAACTAGAATAGATAGAAATTTTCTCTGACGATCGATAAACTACCTCGACTAAATTAGGATAAAACTGAGCCAACAAAGCTACCGATAACATGCTCCCTAGATAAACGACCTGGAAATGGAGGAGTTTCCTTACTCCGTAATATTCATTATCTCGCAGTTCATGATCAGGCGGCAGCTTTTGGATAATCCCAAGAATCACCGCGGTGTTACCCACTTTCACGCGTGTACGCTCGCGATGCATTGCCGCGTCTAATGGGAATGGACCGACAGAAAGACAAACAGAAGGTGAAAAAGAGAATGGACAGGTAGAAAAGAGGAAGAGGTCGCCCTCGAACGTTTGCGAACCGGGTAGGCGCGAGGTGATCAATTACGTAACTTGATAAAAGTGGGTCACGTGTCAAAGTGCGGAGCCATCCCCAAAGTGTCCAACTTTTTTGCTATAAGCTCGTAAATTACCAGTCAGCTAGCAAACTAGCTAGCTGCTGCTACTACTACTACTACTATTACTACTACTACTATCGCTTTGCTTTAAATAGAATGTTGGCAGAGACTCGTGTCCAACTACCTCTCGCGTCTTCCTCGTTTGGCCCGTCCCTTTTGTATTCTCTTACTGCTATCTCTATCTATCTCTCTTTATCTTTATTTATTTCTTTCTTTCTTTGCCCTTGCGAGTCTCACGGTCTCGTACGAGGTCTCAAAAAGTAGGAAGTGACTCTACACGCACATACACACACACACACACACATAGATACACCCATAGAATACATTCATCTATGGTACATAGAACTAGGACGAAGTTAACTGGACACGTAAGCTGACCGGTGGTCGTTAGTCGCTGGTGATACTTCCTTCTTCTAAGTAGGAAGAGAGAAGGACGAAGAAAGGAGGGTCAGAGCAAATAAGACGGTTTGTTCTGCTTGAAAAAAAAGAAAAAAATAGAAAAAGACAGACAGAGAGAGAGAGAGAGAGAGAGAAGGGGGTGAGGGTGAGTGTCACGGTAGGTGGGCTAAGACAATCGATAAGATTGCTGCCGGGTTCGGAGAAGCTCGACCTCGTATTCATCAGACTACTTTAGCGCTTCTCGCTTTGGAGCGTTCAAGTTTTGGAACTATGTTACGACGGTCGTCATCCAACGTATACGAATTAGAATTGTGCACACGCTAAGGGTAAATAAAGATAAATAAGAACAACGGAAAGAGAGAGATAGAGAGAAAAGAGGGTGAGGATGAAAAAACACAAATGTTTGGTAGGATAAGATTGGTAAACTCGAAGGGAAGGATAAGTTGAAGCCGGAAGGAAAACAGTGGGATCCTTCGAAAGCGTGCAATCGCTGAGAGGGGTAGAAAAGAAGAAGAAGAGCTCCTGTCTCTTCAGGGGTCGATACCCAGTCCAGTCAGCAGCGATCGGATAGGTCAGAATAGAGCAAGGATATGCTAGGATACCGTGAATATAAGAAACCTATATAAACGAACTCGCGAAAGCACAGGTCGAAGAATGCACAGAATCGCCGCTCTGGCGGATATTACCGGAACTACGAATTAACCCTTCACCACGTTTACCCGCTAGAGAGCACCCTATCTTACGTATCTCTATGTATCCTCCTACTATAACCTTACGACGAGGGTTCATTTCTATTTTTACCCAGGGGTTGCGAGAAATCACGTCGATAAGGAAGCTTACCTCCTATCTTTTATTCACTTTTATAGATTTCTCATTACTTCCAAACGATTTTTAATCAACCGACTAGTCATTTATATCCTTCAATAATTTTACCAAGAAACCAACGTTTGCGATATTTTCGTTTTGTTGCCTTTCAGTTTTTGGAAACGCGGCGAATATAAAATGCAAGAATCTATAAAACAAAGTGAAAAATTTATTTTTATTAAAGTTACTGATGAGAGACTGATAACTCTATCAAAAGTTAAGCTAATTTGTGGAATTATTTTTTGAAGAACTAACAAAATTAAAATGTAGAAATCGATACCATTATAGGCACCGTAATAATATTCGCTAATAAGACTTGATTGTTTTTTTGTTTCTTATTGCACTAACGAATGCATGAATATAACGAACTTTATTGAAATTATTATAATATTATACTTGGAACCATTATCTATCAATTATATTAATTTACAATGCGATAAAAAAAGAAACTCACTCGAGATATCGATTTAAAAAAAAATAACAAAATATACTAGCTTTTCTTAATTTATCATCTTCATAAATGCACGACTAGAGATAACTTTTTTTTCTTGGTTCATCAAATCCGCAAACTTGACAATTTTCATGTTTTCTGTCTCTGTCTGTCTCTGTCTCTGTCTGTCTGTCTCTCTCTCTCTCTCTCTCTCTCTCTCTCTCTCTCTCT